CCAATGGATCGTTCAAGAGGATGATGATATCCTGGTGGACTGGTGCGTTGCAACCCTCCCTGTCACTTTGGGCTAAGCTCAGAAAGTGCAGATAAGGTACGATCTATCACCACCTCCATGAAGTGATCTCATGATGCAGATGGATAGACGACGGCTGGCAGGCATGGCTGGGTATACGGACGAGGACGATACGTCAAGTAGACGGCCGCTTCCGATGAAAGTGCACGATCTCATCAAATAATCTTGGGGTTGAGCAAGCGACCCGGCCGAGCGAGATCTCCAGAAAGTGGATTGAATCGTGTGCTGGTGAGGTTTATTATTGCCAATATCTCGACGTCGTCCCCTCCTAAACATCGTCATTTCTTATTTCTCGCTCCACCACACGTCTTCAACCTCACAAACGTTGATGTGTTTACTTCCCTTGTCAGGATACTCGACTTACACAGCAGACATGGTCCAACCAGAAAGCGCAAACAATGCCGAGATGCACGACACTTGGAGCTAACACCATATCCAAGATTTGACTTGCATGTCGTCAACATCCCACGCTGCTGTTTTGAACCAACTGCATATCACTGGAAGTTGGCGATCACGTTCGTCGCTCAATCTGGCGGACAACGTATCAGAAATGCATGAGATACGTTTGTTGGCTCGACATTTGCTTATCGGAATGCTCTGCCTGAGTAACTGTCTCTTCATTCATCTCATACTACAAATGCACGGAGAGACCTGGCGTCTGGCACAGACACCTTCTCCAGTGAGAGTCTGGTAGGTCTGAGCAGAGTCGCCCTCTGAACAAGGTTGGCAGACCCCCTAACCAAAACGAACCATACAAGGCGACCTACGCCCAGAACAGGCACCAAGCAGCTTGTTGGCGATAACTTGTCGTTCTGCCAGGGAAGTCTGTCCTGAGTCGTCAAGCTTATCATCATCCAGAGCACAGCGATCGAGATCTTTCCAGGACGTCTCCTTTCCTAGTATAGTCGCAAAGCGGTCTTGAAAAGCTGGTTCGCACGATCAAAAAGAAGGCGTCGGTCGGTTGGTGAAGTCGATCCGAAGATACTCAAGGTGGAAGACGGACCGCAAAGCAACGTTGAGGACGAAGTGCACACTGAGCTCATAGCCTGAAGTGAGTGAGGGGCCGCCCCATTCTAAATGCTTGAGTGTGAAGACCATATTATTCATACTGTGCACGGCGATCGCTTCCAGCGGTGGCGGCGGTTGACAAGCAGACACTGTCTGAGATGCTGGGACATTGAACGGTACGTTCTGCCTACCGAGACATGACATTGCAACATCGACACATGGTTTCTGGTGTCTTGTCTGGCGCAACCACTTAAACTTTTTTTCTTATCAAGATTAGGAATTCGACCGCGACGAAGAAAGCAAAGGTCAAGTTCATCTTTAGCATCATCCCATAAAGAAATCATCGCAAGTTCAAAAGTCTAATCGCCCGTTGGATACCAATGTGATGGATGTGCTGGGAGCTTCCATTCATCCCATTCAATATCGGTCTCACGGAGACCCTTCCCGGTGCGATGGACTTGCTTGGTGACAGTAAGAGGCCCAAGTGGCACAGTGCGAGGTGCTCATTGTCATGAAACAAAAGCGTACATTACCATTGGTGGACCCCCACGCAAGTCACAATTGAGATGGTTGAAGGAGCCCCCGCCTAGCAATGAGTTGGTTTGAGCGTCAAACTCTCCTCTGCCCCTCTTCCACAACTTCTAGAACACTTCAAAGTTCCATCCGTCTGAAATTCAGATTGGAGAATGGATATGGGTGTTCACCCCTCTTTTCACTCTCATTGCACCTGGAACAAACCCACTGTACAACCCTCTGTACAAGATCCCGAAACTGAACTCAGAACCGCTGCGCCGCATCTCCATGTTTCCATTCGATGTGACCACCTTCGTTGCGGGTTCATCGGTTTCGGTTCGCTCATTCTCAGGTTGTCTGAGGTCGTCCCAGGTACCCGACGCCCTCAGATCCAGAACACCCAAGACGGGACGGTACGCTCTCCGCGTGAATAACCCAACATTTTGGTGCTGTAATGTGGCACGTACCTACCGACCATGACAACGTGAGCACACCACCACCGATGAATACCCATATATAACTTCCATTCCTCCACCAAAGAGTCCAACGTCTTGACACAAGACAAAGGGAATTACGAAATGAACCAAGACACACACACCCCCTTTCGCAGATGCGGAACACATGCATGAACTTCACTCTGGCTCTGACCTGGTGTATGGTACCTACAGGCACTTTGCATGTGCAGCATTTCTAGTGTACATACCGCCCCTCGCGCCCCTCTATAACTTGGCACACTTTCCAGCGTTACCTTCAACTTTACACAGGGAGAAGCCTTGAAAGACGAGTGGATGAGAGGACGCACGAGCACGACTCATTGAGCCGCATTCCTCCCCTCAGGCTCTAGACTCTAGCAGAAACTCTTGTCCCCTGTGTCCCTCAATCCTCACAATGGGCCAGCAGCGGCTATAGCGGTAGAAGCGGCTTTCACTGAACTGGCCACCGCTGGCAAGCCTGCAACAAGGTACTGTACGTGCAGATGTTGTTCCCAGTTCCGTTGTTCTCAGTTCCGTTGTTCCCAGTTCCGTTGTTCCCAGTTCCCCCTTCGAACATAATTTAGGATTCGTCTGGTCTGGTGGTAGCTAAGACACCGCACGTATGGAGGATAGGGGAAGTAGTTCGAAGGCTGAAGCCTGGAGCTTCTAATGGTGAGTGCTGGAACGAACGGGGACGAGCAGAAGAAGGAACTGAAGGAATTCAGGAAGAGACAAGAAGATTGGTGGACTTTATGGACTGGTGGAGGAAGATAATGAGGTCCAGAATGAGGTCCAGAATGAGGTGTCTCTGTTGCGAGTTGTGATTATACCGGAATGTGGTGGGTCAAGTAAACACACACACCACACTTGATAATTGACTGGGCCATGAACCCTATTCCGAGTTTATGTTCTATGTTCTTATAGTTATCGTATCAAGTTTACAAAACGTTCTCTGTCTGTTGTCACAAATCTCCTGTATTGGCGAGGATTCGGTGAGTACGTCGGTGGATGTTGTCCTTTTCTTGAGATCTTTACAGTAGCTCCACGAGAGGCGAGTTTGTGAAGAGACCTTGACTCACTCAGTGGAAAGAAACTTAAAGACAACCCACAAAAAATGACAGCAGCAGTGTGATGTCCAAGGACATAATGCACCTGTCAACTTGACAGCCGTTCCTCCATACCTAAATGTCGAGTCTATGCAGGTTACAAGAAGCACATAGAATGAGCTGCAGAGGGGCAGTCGAGAGCCGTACCTGAATGTACACTTATCGCCATCCAAACTTTGAACGTTGGTATAACATGGGACAGTTACACCACGCGAACCATGAAACCCATGGCTTACTCGACATTTCACACACTCGTCCAGTCCTCACCGAATGACTCACTCACGCTTATACAAGATGAGCCTGCAAGAACGAGTGTGTCATGGCCGGCAAGTCGGATAGGATAGGTTGATGATGCTCGTGCTGAATGGTTGCCGGCGAACGGCTTACAATGCCATACGGTAACTATTGTAGTTTACGGCCCTGCCTAAAGAAATTCGGCGACGAGGATCCCCCTCCGTCCAGCCGGAGGAGCCCCCGCCAACAAGCCATTATCGCCGAAGACATCTGGCGGGCCGGGAATGCTTGTTCGCCGTCCGGAACTCACCTGGCAGGAAGCGAAAGTTATGGAGGTGGATCACAAGCGTGTCGGCCCAGTCATCCAGCTCCGCGTCAGGATGATCCCGTTCGGCGACACCCCCGTGAATGTTACAAGTTGAAGTACATTTAATGACGGTACATGCGACCAGGCAACGGGAATGTTGGGTGTATAAGGTAGGCTTATTTGAACTTTGAAGAGAGCTATCGTCCAGGAGTTTCTTCTGATTTCTCAGATTTGTAAGACGAAAGAAGAAGATGCGGCACATGTGGTTTTACCAACGCAATGGACAAAAGCGAAGTTCGGCTTTGGGAAGTTCATGATGGTTGCAGTCGGGCTTAACCCGATGTCTGTCTTTCATCTGGCAGCGGCCCGTCAAGTCTTTCAGCTGCCATTGAGTTGCAGCGCTTGGCAGGCCAAAACTCGAACGAGATGTGTTCAGGGTCCTCTGTGGCTGTCGGTGGTGCCTGGCTGCCCGCTGTCACGCCGTCCCGCCCTCTTCCGGGAAAGTCTCGGGGTTTTTCCAGTTCATAGGGCAGCGAGCGGCTACGCAGCGGCTTTTTCTGTACCACTGTCCCGTTCGGTGTTTTCCATTACATCATCGGTCCGCTACGCCCGCTGCGGCTCAGTGGGCTCACTCTACACTAGCAGCGCCGGGTCGCCCTCATCCGTTATGGCGTGAGGTTGAGAGCACTCGGTAGCGAAATGTTCCGAGAGGAAAATATCGGAAGAGATGGAGAGTGAGTGAGTAAGCACTGAAACGAGCATCTCCATGGGACAGCGTGGGTTGAGTAATTCGCCTTATATATAACCCTTATTTATGTGCAGTCGTTTATAAGTGTCATTGATATTCGCCCGTGTTCATCAATTGCTAAGAACGGCTCTTGCGGCTCTCGGTCTGTCATCCAAATTTCCAAGATTTCCGTTGTCGCTGTTTTTTGGTGGTGCGTCATTCACTTTCGTACTAAAATCAAAGCGGCCCCACATTATTTACCCCTACCACACTGCACCCGCGCGCGCTATCGACATCATCCCATCCGATCCTCGCTACGAGTTTTGTTCCTACGTTAGCTTCCTCACCACGCCACCATTCTCAAATTTCTTGCCTCGAAACTCGGTCTCAAGACGAACAACCACGACTCACAGCAACGACATTGCTACTCTTTTTCCGCACGCAATTCCTAAAACTCGCACTTTGACCTTCTTCCTCTTCGAAACGACGAAGACGACGACAATACCAACAACACCAACATCACCACCAAAGGTAACCCGACACCAACAGCAACCATGAAGGTCATCAGCAAGGAAGAGGAGCAGGCCCACTACTCCGAGGTCATCAAGGGCGGTTTGATCGGTGGCAGCGCCGGTCTCGTGGTCGGCCTCGGCGGTGTCATGTTGGGCATGAAGCGGTACCAGCTGATCCGCCAGCTCTCGCTCCCCTTCCGGTCCTTCCTGGTGACCTCAGCGGGTACCTTCGGCGCCATCATTCTGGCGGAGCGCTACAGCATCAACTTCCAGAGGGCCAAGGACCCCATGAACAAATACATCCAGGCTGGCAGGAAAAAGTACGAGGCGGAGCGCCTGGCCTCCGAGACCTCGAGCCAGCGCTTCATGGAATGGGGCCGCGAGAACCGCTACAGCATCGTGTTCGCGTCCTGGATCGCCGCCATGGGCGCCGCCATGGCCATCGTCAACCGCAACAAGTACCTCAGCGCCAGCCAGAAGCTTGTCCAGGCCCGTGTGTACGCCCAGGGCCTGACGCTCGCCGTCCTCATCGCCACGGCCGCCTTCGAGACCGCCGACGCCAAGAGCGGCAAGGGCAGGTGGGAGACCGTCATGGTCGTTGACCCCAACGATCCTACCCACCAGCACTTGATCGAGAAGAAGGTCAAGAAGGAGGAGTACGAGGGTCAGAACCTCTGGCAGGGTATGTTTTCTCTTGTCCCAATGCTTGTTTCGAGCTTATGAGGATCCGTCAACTAACTTGTGTGATTCAGATATGGTCGCTGCCGAGGAGAAGAGACTCGCCCACAAGAAGTACGTTGAGGAGCAGCAGCAGCAGCAGCAGCAGCAGGAGCAGGCTAAGGCCAACAAGGCCGAAGCTTCCGCTTAAGCGCACTGCACCAACCAGTCAGCTTTGCTACGACAAGAGAGCGATTAGTTCCCTCTATCATCTCTCACTCGAGATTTAGCTGTCTTACCCACCTTCGTCTCTTCACACCGGGCATATCACACGTGGTCCGATGAGGGAGTGACGGGGAAGACAGAATCAAATTTGGAACCCCGGAATCAAGCGATGGAGGAAAGACAAAAGCCTGGTGGCAGATATGTGTTGTCACAGACTTTTGAGACTCACCAGCGCGAATCCGGTACCTACCCTAACATACCTTTTACCTCACACATCCATCTCTACTCTACCTATGGTACTCGAATTTGCATTAGTTGGTGTTTTTATTTGCGAACAAAAAGAGGGAACTTCGGGACTTTCTTGGAAGCAACGGACGGCTTGTTTTGTTTTGATTCACTTCGGATGATGTATGATCAAAACATACCAGCAATTGTTGCACAGCATGGCGTTTTAGTTTAGACTTTTTGGGTTATCATATGGAGAGATCTTCTTTCTCCTCGTCAGTCGTCGCCTTCTTCTGTACAGTAACGGGCGGATGGCATGTACGTATTTGTATATAGTATCGTCGCCTTTGCTGGACAATCTTGCTACGATACGGATATAGAATGCCTTTCATAACATTTTATCTTTCTTTAAACTATGGTGATTGCCGGATATACTCGACTTCCCTGACTCTTCTAGAGTTCATCATGGCTCCTCACCTCCTCCCTGTTCCCGTCGCCACGAGGAAGTTCGTCAACAAAAACTGAAATGTTGTCAGGGTGCAGAACGGGTGACAGAACACTCCTTAACAGTTCCTTCTCCATCACAAACTCCTCAGCAGTATTGGTCTTCACGTCCCAGTGCTCTTCTAGCCATATCTCCGCCTCGTTGAGCGCATCCCTGACAACCCCCACCTTCGCGGCAGCCTCGGCAATCCAAAGACCCCTCCTGGCCGCATTCAACGTCCTTCCCAGCTCTCTTCTCGCCCCAAGCCTCGCCTTAGACTCCTCGTCCTCTTCCCAATACTGCTCTGCTTCCTTGATCAGGGAGTGTATCTTTTCCCACTTTTCCTCGTAGTCGTCGCTTCTCCCAACGTAGGAAGTTTGGATGGTAGCAATTAGCTGTCTATGATGACCTTCGTCATCCATTTCCATGGTGTCGTTGAGGAACACTTCCAAGATACCATTGCCGTCGAGTTGAAAGGCAACCGAGATTCGGGGAATGCCTCGTGGGAGGTTGTTTTGGTTAACGTTGGCAAGGTCGAGGGGGATGGAAGCTAGGAGGTGATTGGAGGCTGTGAAGGGGCGATTGCCTTGAAAGATGTTGAGGGTGACGGTGGTTTGGTTGTCTGTTATTCGTTGTTAGCATTGACATAAAGAAGAGGCTGGATAGGATGGCTCACTGAATGATGTGGTGAATGTTGCTGATTTGCGCTGTTCACACTGACGCGTTAGAAGCAACTTACAGAACAGTATAAAGAGGGAAGGATGAGCTCACCGTGGGCAAGGGAGTGTGACGGCGGATGATTTCACTCTTGCGTCTGTTAGCCAACAACTCATAAACATATCGCACTGGTCTTGCATAAGAGAAAGAGGATCTTACCATGACACCTCCCACCGTCTCAACGCCGATTGCAATCGGATTAACTTCAAAAGCACCCAGCATGCAGCCTTCAGGCTCAGGCCGGGAGAAAATCTGCCAACAATCATCAGTCCAGCATTCTCAGATCGCGAAATTCCGGTCCTCACTTACCATAGCCTGAACAGCCGACCCGAAAACCACCGCCTGCGCAGGATCAACGTCACCTTCTTTGAGCGTCCTATCCTCCCTGTTGAAATAACTCTTGAGCACGCTTCTCACCATCGGGATTTTCCCCGACCCTCCTACCACAATAACATCGTCCAACCCATTCCAATCAACCTTGGAAGCCGCCAACACCCTTCGAGTGACTGACAGCGTATCCCAAACCAGAACGTGGTTCAGATTCCCAAATTCCGTCCTTGTCATCGTCAAGTTCCTTTCCATCCCGCCCAGGTTGGTCACCAGTTCCCGGATATCGATCTCCACGGATTCCAGCTCCGATAGAGCGATCTTCACTTTCTCCGCCACCTCCTCTCTCACCTTTGTCACCAGTTTTGGATCCAACATCATCAAATCTTCCACCCCCATATGGCCTGCCCTCCAATCGCCGCCATCTCCGCGGCCACGGCCACGATCATGATTATCACGGCCCATCCGCGCCGCCACCTCTTTCAAGACCCACCCGGCCACGTTCACATCCATCTTTCTCCCCCCAAACCCCCTCTCCACCCTCTCACTGCCTAAGACCTCAAAGACTCCCTGTTCCACGAACAAGACCGTGACATCGAGGGAAGTAGCGCCCAGATCGTACACCAACACCGTTCTCTCCTGATCAGCATCCAGGTCGCACCTGTAAGCAATGGCGGCCGCTATGGGTTCTTTCATGAAGCGGACAACCTCCAAGTCAGCAAGAGAGGCGGCATGGCGGAGGGATGCGGTATATGCTTCCGCATATGTCTGGGCTGATTCTAGGGTGGGAACGTGAGACCAATCGTAGTAGCCCTGGTGGGAGTTATGATGATCGGTGTAAGAATGGAGGCCGGGGGCGATGGGGGTGGTGATGATGGCTTGGGTGACGCTGCGAGGGGCGGGATTCTGTTAGAGGAGGGAAAGAGGGAAAGAGGGAAAGAGGGAAAGAGGGAAAGAGCAAACGTACTTCTGACCAAGATGCCGTTCAGCCATCCCTTTCAACTCCCTAAAGATCATCGCCGTGATCTGTTCAGGCGTGTACCTCAACACTCTTTTCGCGGCGGTGCCGTTGATGTTGATAATCTGCCCATTTTCGTTGACATTGCCCCTAGAGGTACCCCTGGTATCCTCGATCTCGACCTCAACCATAGGTATTTCACTACCACAGTAGTGCGTGACCTTGAAAGGTAAATGGCGAATCTCTTTTTGAAGCTCGGGGTCGGAGAAATTTCTTCCTAGGAGACGTCTTTTTGGTTCCTCCAATATCATGGTTAGGAAGAGAGTCAGTCAGAGTCGGTCGGTCAGTCATGAAGCCAGTCAACTAAACTAGGCTTGAAGCCAATAACCAGCAACACCGAAAGGGAAGACCACACAAGAACTGCCTCAAAGAGGATATATAAACATACCTAACATCAAACACCACCCCCTCACCCTCTCCCATACTTCTAGCCCAACTCCTCGCCTCCTCCCCCACCAAAACATCCACACCTTCATACTTTCCATCCGCTCTAAACCCTTCGTCCCCTTTGTCCCCTCCTCCCACCCACACACCTTGCCCAGTATTAGTATCGGGACTTCCACTAGCCCTAAAAGCAACCCAATTTGGCACCATCCCCAAAACCTCAACCGTTCCCTTTCTCCCGACTCCCACCCGCGAATTGGTCACCCCGAAATCTATACCAATCATCATAGGTGTGGGTTCGGGTTCCGGGTCATGACCACGATGGTCATCTGTAGAGAGAGCGTTTGCTCCCACTGGACCTGGGAGGGGGAGAAAGGAAAGAGCTAGGGGGAAGATGACGATGATGAGGAGGAGGATGGTGGCTGTTAAGAGGGCTGCGAGGGGGGAAGGCGGTTTGGGCTTTCGAGAGGATTTGAGTTGGTGAAAGTGGGATTGGCGGCGACGGCCGCGGTTGCCGGATTTGTTTATGGTCATGGTTGCTGGTGATTTGATTTTGGGGGTGTTGATGTTGTTGATGCTGTTGGTGATGTTTTTGGAGTCGTTGATGGGTTGCTTTCCGTTGGGTTTGTTCAGGTCTATAGAAAAAGGACAAGAGATTTTCGTCTCGGTATGTCAATAGCCATGTATAAGTATTTGCGGTGACCGCTGAAGGAGTTGCGAAGCCAGCCCATGCGGTAATGAAGAGGTCATCATATCAGAGACGAAGCAACGTATCTGGCCTCTTCTCCCAGACGATGTTGTTTCTTTCATTCTGGAACCAACTAGACTTCAACAGCCGTTCTTTTTTTCTCCATTCGGACCAGAGTTGAACCAGTGAGTGGGTGACCTACTTGGAGACGTACCAATCCTCCCATGCATCATCCATAGCCATTCGATCGACAAGTTTGTCGTGTATGGCTCTCGAAGCAACTACTGAGCACACTGTCAGTGAGTCACCGAAAAGGAAATCCAAAATTGCTTCTCGTTTCGTTTTACTATCCAGTCATTCGCCGTTAGCCAAATGATAAGGACACGTTTCGTTGTTTTCGGACTCGACTCGGATTGTTTGACTCACCCAATGAACTGGTTATGTTGTCCTTTCGCAGATCTTCGGAGAAAGTCTGACAACCACACCACTAGATCTATCTAACACAGCATCAGCAACCAACAAACAATTGCACGAAAGAAGCCACACAACAGTCATTGATGGATACGGTACATCAAAAATGAGGCCACCGCGTTTGTTCGTTCGTTGGTATTAGGTATTAGCTATAATGCAACTTCCTTCTTCTTCCCCTCGTCTCGTCTCTGGATACTGCACTCCTCCCACGAGTCCGTCCCATCGAGCTCTATTCTATCCTGGTTCTCCAAGAACTCCCTCCCTCTTTCTTTTTCATGATTGATCAATCACGTCATTATATGCTGTAGACCCCAATTCCATAAGAATAACAATTGAAAACCAAAGAACGCCCATCTAATCGTCCATCCGTCTGCTCCCGTCCCTTCCCCTCTCCTCCTCATCTAATCGCCACACCAGTACCAGTCTCTTACAACTGGCAACCCTCCCTCCTCTCCCAGTAAATCTTGGCGGGCTCCAAAGGCCTGGAGAACAAGGAAGCGTAATCGGTACCGATAACCTTATCGCTACCATCCACGTTCCTGAACTTGAAGTTGCGAACAATGATGGCAGTAATAGTCTGGAGCTGGACGTTGGCGAACTGCTCGCCAATGCAACGATGACGACCGGCGCCGAAGGGCAGGTAAGGGGAGTTGGCGCCCTTGCTGACGAGACCGTAGCCGTAATCGATCTTCTCGTCGTCCTCCTCGGCGGGCACGTTGCGGATGATGGTTGGGGCGAGGGGCGAGTCCTTCTCCCAGCGGCGAGGCTCCCAAAGCTCGGGCTGGGGGAAGTAGCACTCGTCGGTGGCGGAGACGCCGGGGGCGGCGAGGAGGACGTGGTCGGTCGGGATGACGTACTTGGTTCCGGGGACGGGCATGGGGGTCTTGACGGCGCGCATGATGGAGTGGATGGGGGCGTGCAGGCGAAGAGTCTCCTTGACGATGGCGGCGTGGAGGGGAAGCTTGGCGAGGTCCTCGTAGGTGAGCGGGGGAAGGTCGGCGCCGAGAGCCTTGACCTGTTCGTTGTAGAGATCCTCCATGATGTCGGGGCGAGAGGCGAGACGGAGCATGATCCAGGAGCTAGTGGAAGATGAAGAGTGCTGGCCGGCCATGAGGAGGGCAATCATCATGTGGGCGACCTCGTGGTCGGGGACGGGGACGTCGCCCTTGTAGGTAGAGTTCATCAGATGCCACATAATGTCCTGGGCGCCAGTCTCGCCGCGAGCGCGACGCTCCTTGATGGTGTCCATGTAGATCTTGGCGACGGTGCGCTGGGCGTAATCGCGGCGGTTGTTCCAGGGAAGAGGGGCCCAGTGAAGCATGAAGTTGATGGGAGAGAAACCCATGTCGAGATCGTGGTAGAGGTCGGCGAGCGTCTCGTCGAACTTGTCGCGAATCTCCTTGCCCTGAAGAGCGTGCGAGGCGGTGAAAATGGTGATCTGAGCCATCTTGGGGGGGATGTCAACGATGCCGGATTTGCCCTTGAAGTCGGCGCTTCTCTTGAGGTAGTTGGTAACCTCATCCGAGATGATGGGGACGTATTGGCGGAAAGCGTCGGTGGTGAGCGCAATCTTCATGAACTGTAGGGGCCGTATGTTAGCCACTGTCTCCTAATAGTCCCGATAGCGTCGCAGTCATCCTCTCTAACCTTCTTCTGCTCCATAAGCTTGGAGTTGGGGCAATCGTAGACAACATCCTTGCCGAAAACGGGGGTGGTAAGGACGGTGTAAATCTCTTCGGCGTTGACATCGCGAATCTTGCCGTTCAAGATGAAATCGTTGCCCTTGGGGCCGACGTAGACGGTGGTCTTCTTTCCGAGCAGGATGAAGGTGAAGCAATCGCCATACTGTTGTCGAGCGCAAAGCTGTTAGCAAGCCAAGTTCCACGCGCGCGCGCGCGTTGGGCAAAAATTCGAAAGGGGGCTTTGTTGTCTCTTTACCTTTTCCCTGTTCTCCTTGAAGAAACGCGGCGGGTCCATACCATACGTAATGGTGCTGCCGATGATAGGGAACCAGTGGAAGACGAGAGGAGGCTCATTGGGCTTCTTGAAGAGGAACTGCTGGAGGACGTTGAGAGCGACGGCGACAAACAAAAAGGAGGCGATCGCGACACCGATTTGCGAGAATGTCCCCAGCTGGGAAAACTGCTGGGACAACGGTCCCGCGATGACTTGCAGGACGCCCATGGTTGGAGAAAGGCGGGGGCGAAGAGAGGCGTGAGGGGAAGAACTGAAGTCGTAGACGCCGGCAACAAAACAATCAAAAGAATGAATGAAGCCTGAGGAGGGAGGGGTAGGAAAGGGAGAAGATGGGCGACTCGACTTGATTTTTATAAAGTCGGTCGATGGTTGGCGGTTGTCGTACCGTAGCCTTCCTACATACACTACCTAGAACCTATGGTACCAAGGCGATAGATAGGCCGATAGGGACCAAGGGCTGCGGGCGGTCGCTGGTACATCGTAAACTGACAGCAGAACACTTTCCACCAGCTTGGCAATGTCCAGGGACCACCTCTCAGGGGCATTTTTCCCTGTGGGCGAATAGGAGTCGGCCAGTTTGACGCCTCTCAGCCAATCAAAGGAGCTATTCGTATTCGGATTCCGTTTGGACGGTACTTGCCCTTCAAAGATCATCCAAATTATCCTTGACCGCACTGGCAACCTCAGCCCAAGATCATGCCATGGGGGAAATCGCATCTGACGGTTTCTGCTACGGAAAGAGACGATTGGAGCTGTTCAATCTGCGGTCTCGACCTTGGACGCTTCTTTGAAAGTTTGTAGTAGGGGTAAAGGCACGCAAGCTTCAACGTCTTTCGGAACGCAGCGAGTACGAATACGACTGACAACAATTGACAACAACCGTGCTGCATTCAGAACTTGAAGCAGAAGTATGTATGCCTGACTGCAGCTGCAACGACAAGGAGATACCAATGCATACTTGAGGGACATTGTTAGCTTCTCTCCTCTCGAACATCTCAAAAAAATCAAAAGCAATAGCAAAAGCAGCCAACATCTCTGTTGTGCATTGAAAGAAACGTTGTCACAAGTAGAAAAAGGGGTAACAAATCTAGTTCATCTCTTGGCATCCGAGTCAGTGCTTCCACATCGGCTACTCCCGCTCTCCATGCTCGAGCCTCTGAACTGAAGTCCCGCCGCCGCAGCCATGCTCACTATGCAAGCCACCTTGCGTCGTCCCTGCCTTCGCCTTTCCATTGCTGACCACCATGAAAAAAAAGAAGGATCAAGTCAAGGGACATGGAAAGGAATTCGCCAATGAAAAATATTGAGATATTGTGATGTCGTCATTGGGTGCTTGCAAAGACGTGTTCGGATTCATGATTTGATAAGATCGGACTTGGATAATTGAGAGTTCTGGTTGGGTCTGTTCTCAGCGAATGACCACGATTTTGTATAGGTAGTTGGTCTTGGTTGTTTTTCTATACGGAGGGATACCAACTAACTTGATATTCTTAGTCTACGATGGCAAGAGAATAAATGCGTATTCGGATTCATAATCTGAGAGAATTGGAGCCGTGAATGCAAACGTGCTCGGTCGTGTCTCTTATAAGCAAATGATAGCATGGCCATGTATATAATAGGTACAGTAGTTGGTATCTGAATCAGTGGCTTGATATCATCCTCAGGTTTCAACTTCCACTTCAAGCTCCTTCACCCCGGTCCCTACCAAAACTCTTAATGTTTACTGGTACCCCTTGGTTCAAACATGCTGACAGACATGCTTACAAGACAACAACACCTCAATGCAATGATTGCTGAGACTAACTACTGAGAGAGCCAGTAGGTTTCCACAAAGTGTCCTATCTGCTTCTGATCTAACATCCAAACATGGAAAGTAAATACGAAAGAAAGAAAAAGAAAAGGCTTCAAGTGAATGCGTATTGCTTGTGTGTGGTATCATGAGTGCTGTTGCTGCCCCTATCCCAAGTTTGAGTTCCATGAAAACAGATCCCGGAATGATGCTCCCCTTTTTTACCCCGAAAAAAAATAAAAAATATGAAAGTGTAAAACTCCTGGTTGAACGCCGTCCGAAATGCGAAAAAGCTGCATGCAAAAGAGCGCTATGACTGGCAAGTTTGTAGTGTTGGTGTTGGTGTTGTGTTGGTTGTCGTTATTGTTGGTGATGATGCTTTTGAAGCTGTTCTCTCCATCCTCTTTCCCTACCTTGTTGCACCGGATGCTCTTACTGAAAATGAAGAACAATCACGAAGAAACGCCCCTCCACCCATACCCCCCATCAATATTCACCCAATTCCCCTTCTCCATCGCGCTCTCCCAGCCCATCATGATCGCCAACAGCCTACACCCCACCGCACTGACCGTGCAAATCACCACATCGCTCGCGTCCGCCAACACAGCCAAGTCCATCATGTACGCGCGGCCCACCAGGCTCCTAAGCCGGATCGCGTCCGCCGACGGACTCTTCTTGTGAGCCTCCACGTCCGCGCTCGAGCTGGACTGGCCCAGGTTCCAGAACATGGCCGAGAAAAACCCGCCCTCCCAGCCGAACGCCTCGTCGTGGAACTTGTGCATCACGTTCCTGTCCAGCTCCGGCTGCTTCATCTCCTGCTTGGCGGCGAGCTTAATGCGCTCCTGCGCAAGGGTTGCGCCCTTTAGCTCCGAGGCTTGGTAGATCATGGGGTCGTCCGAAGCGAGGATCATGAGGCTGTGTTTTTTGGCGACGGCGTCCTCGGCGCCGTGCGGGCCCGTGTGGTTGAATTTGTCTTCGAGTATCTCCCGCGCGGTTTCGGCGTAGATGTTGATGGGCATGTAGGAAGAGCGGTACTGGAACTCGAACGGGTGTCGGTCGCCGCGGCGGACGTGAATGCCGATCGCCAGGCCTTTTTGTTTTCCTTTGGTCTTGGGCACGATCCGCCTGGCCATGAGGTCGCGGACGCGGTTGTCGACGTAGACGTTATCGTCTTTATTGAGGCGGAAGAGAGCGTCGTGGCCGAGGCGGGCGAGGTTGAACATCTTCTTTTGGGCGGCCGGTTCTAGGCGCTCTAGCGGGTCGTCCGATGAGCCGCCCACAAGCGCCTCACCGAGAACGTCGATGGCGGTCCAGGTGGAAACGACCAGGTGGCGGGCTTCGAGCGGGCAGGGAAGCATCTCGTGTCTTGGGGGTGGTCCGCAGTCCTCGCGGGGTGGCGCCTGGAAGATTTCCATATACTTCCCATAGCCCCAGCGGCTGTCGTCGATGAAAAAGGCGCGGCCCTCTTTCTGCGCTAGCCCGTAGGCTGTCCAAAGCATCATCAAAGTCTTCCCTAACCCGGCATCGTCTGACTCGAGAACAAACGTCAAGCTTTTCTCGCAGACAGGTTTCGGTATCCCCCCTTCTACGGTTTCCCCAACTAGAGTCCTCACCGCGTTTTGCGCTTGGTCTCCGGGTGCAGGTAGGTACCCAGCCTGCTGGGCCTCCTTCACGTCGATAAAGTGAGAGTCCGTCGTATCAGACAGAAACCCCAGATATGTTTGTTGTATACTGTCTTTCTGTGATCGCTGCTGCTGCACCCGCTCCGCCGTCTCCCGGCACTTCTCACAAACGTCCGCAAACTGTTCGGCGGTAAGAGGGAACCCCGACCCTCGAGGTATCGAAACTGTCCAGCTGGTCCTGCCCCGCGAGTCGGTCAACACAATGGGAGCGGGGTGATCTGGTAGGTCGGCTCGTGACACTAGGGAGTGGTCATACGGCCGAGAGAGGAAGGCAAGCACCGGGCTCTGTGTAAATAACCACTTGATCACGTAGAAAGCAAAAAACGAGTCCACATGTGTACAGGATGTAACGGACAACCCTCCTGGGCCGGACGTATCCCGCGAATCCTTTGGACGGTTTGCGCAGCGGTGGCGAGAGCGATGGTAGGCCTGGTGACGGGGGAGGAGAGAACATGAGGTGGTCGAAGTTGAAACGGGAAGATGTCGCAGAGAGGGGGCCCTTGTCGTGGTGGTAGGAGGCTGCCCTCCGCAGGTTGATTCGGGGCGGAGAGATAATCATTTTGGAGTGTCTCGTCCTACTCAAGTCGAGAGTAGGTGGCATTTTTGGTGTGAATATGTGAGGGACCGATGGCTACACAGGCGGAGGGTCCGTTGAGAAGTAAAGTGCTGGTGGCTTGTTTGCCGTGTTCAGAAGGAGTGTGTATATGGATCCAACTCCCAGAGTTGTTTTGTTTGGTCAAGTACGAAGTGCCGGTGTACGTCTCCGAGGCGAGACTACCGTAACCGGGTGGACGAAAGAATACCAGGGCAATCCGGAAGCCGGAAAACGTTTTGTTGCTGTTTTTGGAAAGGGAAACGGTGCGCCCAGAGGTTGACTGTCCAGCGACAAGAGAGTCGAGGGCGGCGAGCAAGATTAAGCTTCTCGGTAGAACGTCGACATGCTTAATAACAACCAGGTAGCGAAGTAGCACATGTGCAAATCCCAATCTAGGGGTTAGCGGGCAATGTTGACTTTGACAGGCCCGGTTTGATAAGTAGTTGAGGAATGTTCCGTGTCTCCCTCGAACAGCGGCGGGGAAAGTAGTATAGGGGTTCACGGGATCCAGGTTCGAGGTTGAAAGAAAAAGGAGGGGAGGGGGGTGTTTATGGGGTTTAACAGTATAATAGGATGAGCGGTGGAAGAAGCGAAACAGGGAGGATATGGAGATGCCAAAAGGGAGATTCCCAAGGCTTTCCCAAAATGAAGATCAGTACACAAATCCCAACCGTTTCTGCCCCAGAACACCTTCCCTCGCGCAGACTCGCGGGATGACGGGTTGGGGCAGTGTGGTGACAAGGTGAGGAAGGGTGACCGCTTGGTGGATTCCGCCGTGGATATTCGAGAGTACCGGGTAAAGCGGATTGGCTAGAGAGGACAGGACCGACGACGATCGTCCCCAGATAGCCTACAAGGGCCTTGGGCAGTTGAGCAGCGTCACAACCCAAGGATCACCATGGACCGGGACGAGGGGGTTGCTCGTGAGATGAGGGGCCCTTTTCGATGTGTACACGTAGATCTGCAGTAGGCGAAGCGTCGAAGTCGTTTGAAAGCCGTTGGAGACTTGGAAGAGCGGAAACGATCTGAGCAGATCTTTCCAGAAGGACGAAACCCCTCCCAAGCGAGGTCAAGCGAAGCTCCCAGGGATAGGGATGGGATCGAAGGCGGCGGCGGCGGCGGCGGCAGGCGGTTAGGATGACGTGAGGGGGGTTAAAAAGAGGCACACCTTATCCAGGCTATGTCGAGCAAAAGCGATAATATGAATGGTGAGCTTGGTATATGGGGGGCTACTATATGCTGAGCCATTGCCGTGTGTATGAGTTTCTGTCCCACGATGCACGAATGCGAGGGACTGGATGAGATGGGGCGGGGGAGGGTTGGCCAGGCATGAAAAGGAAAACGTTGTGACACCCATCGACGGCGAGGTGTTGAAACCCGCAAACGGGGCGCCTGACGAGAATGGAAGCTGTGGAAAGCAAAACCACCTAACCCATGGAGACCAGATGAACGTTGCCGCCGCAGACAGATGCAGACGCGGACGGGACTACCGGGAGGGGGAAATGCACCCGTCATGACCTCCTTGAATCACATCGACTTGGATGAGTGCGCATGCCGAAACGAAACCATCTCCTCTAACTGATGGAGCCCATGTGAGATTTGTCAAAAAAAAAAAAAAAAAAAAAAAAATTAAAAAAAAAAAAAAAAAAATTTAATTTTGGTCGGCGACCACAGCAAATGATAAGGGGTAATCATCAAACAACTTGATGTCCCAGTACACTAAAATGCCTCGATGCAATAAAAGCTGATCTTATTTACACTACCAACGACATGTGCAAATGTCTCTTTGCTGTATACTCTGGCATGGGGAAATGGGGAATGTGATGGGGAGGACTAGGAGGACAAGAAAAAGAGAGGGGCGGAGTGGACGTGCAACAACGGAAAGTGATCACCAAGGGGCCGTCGTCCACCCACTTGTCCACTCACTTGGATCATCATGTCCTTGCAGCCATGATGGTCT